TCCCAGCGGGGCTGGCGCGTAGAGGAGCCGGGCGGTGGCGGGCGCGTGGCTTGCGGCAGCGGGCGGTGGCACCCTGAGGTCCGGCCTGGGGCCAGGCCTCGGGCTTGGCCTCTTGCATACGCAGCGCCCGGTCCGGCAGGCCCGATAGGTACCGAGAGGCCTTTGCTTCCGCGTCAGTCATAGACCAGGATTTGGTCTGCGGCAGGGACTGACTCTCCGTTGCATTTCTGTCAGAGCGCGCCGTTAAGTGAAGCTGTGCTGGCTTCCTTACAAAGGACAGGTGCTCCTCTTGAATCTAGGGCAGACAAGATAGTGATCCAGTGTAAACGCCAGTGCCAACACAACATTGAGCCGTTGGCATCTTGGAGACAAATTTGAACCTGCAAAATAAGTCAATAAAAACATCAGTTGTTTTCTGTTCTGATTTTGTGTGTTTTCTGTCTGGTACTGGGAAACTTAAATTAGTGTCTTTTCAAGTTCCATGTATTATATTGACCATATATTGACAAAAGTGTGTATTTGAAAGGCAATGCTTTATGATACACATGATTTTTTGACAATGTTACTTTGTTCAGTTTCTGTATCTGGTTTATCATACAGATCTGCAAATAGTTTATTGGCACAGCAGAGAGCAAGGGGAGGGAAAAATAATGATGTAGAAAAAAGAAAATTACACTGGTAGCTCTTAAGCTAGTGCAGTTCCTGCAAGAGATACTTGTTAAACTCCACTTATACGTTGCCTATAAGTCTGTGTGTATGTTTCATGGTATGTTAGAGGTATGCTGTCCAGGCTTACGTTATAATTCCACTCAAACATGTTTCAGAAGGTGGACAAATTCAGAGAAAAGTGTAACTCTCTAAGTCAGTTGTTTCCTATGTGAATTTAGCAGTGTGAGGTAAACTGCATGTTGAGTTACACTTTTTTCCCCACTGTCAACATCATTTGCTATGGAAAAGGAGCAAGCAAACTGATGCTGCATTACAGAAAGCTGCCTTCACCTCGGGCAATTAAAACGTGCTGGGTTTCTCCTGTGAAAACTCGGAATCTAGCATGGCAGGAGGCCAGACTTCCCTGAATTTTGTCTTCTAGGAGAAACACAACAAGGTTATTTACTTTAAATGATCTCCAGCAGCCACAGGAAAACTAAAGAATTAAGAATAACAGCAGTAAGCAGGCCCATAATTCACAACAGGAGGCTATATAAAAATGAAACACCATCATGACGTGTATGCCATGCTCTCACAGAAACTTGCTGACTTTTTCCCATAATATCTTCCAACAAAACACTCCAATGTGCATTTTCATCACTCTTCTTTCCTTATATGTAAACAAAAGTGGAATATCTCACTGTAACAGTGAACAGTGAATTTTGGATGACAATGTAGCAACTTCCTCTTTTGTTCTTCCACTGCCTCTTAGCCCTGCAGGGGATTTCTGATGACTTAATGCCACAAACACAAATAGAATATTGTGATTGAAAATGAAAAGCGAATCTGTTTACCTGCTTGTCTTAAAATTGCAGAATAGGGATGAAGGCATATGAAATATAAGCAAAATTACAAGTTTCCAAATGGCCCAAGAAAATTGGTATCTGTGTTCCATCAGAATGGGTAACCTAATGTTATTGGCTTTAGATGCAAAGGAAAATACAGTGAGTCATTAGATCTGTTTTGATGATGAATTCCAAAATTTGTATGTGATCTGTAATTCAGGTGCACTGTGAAATCCTTTTGCACTATCAAAGCTATTATTTTTTTCCTGCTTTCTTACCCTGCAAAAGAAGTCGAGATACCTCCTTTTCTAAAGGCAGATCCATAGTGGTTTGTTGATATGTCACACTGAGGAGAAGAGTTTATTACAGGAATATTACGTGAGTAAACCTTCATGGAAAGACTAAAAGGCAATCAGACTACAAAAGACTTTCAGGATGGTTCTGCTTCTCTCCATTCTTTGAAAGAGGATGGCATATAATTCCCATTTCTAAATGTACTCAGATGTATTTTAGAAGTAGCTTAAAAAGATATTTTCAAGCATTTACAAAAATATGGGATTGCAGTTCTGCACTTCCAACATTAAGGAAATCATTGCAAAAGAGTAGGGGAATTTTTTACTGACTCCTTCAGAATGTTTTTGATGTAAGCAATTAAAAATTTAGTAGAACAGATGTTTCTAGAGCAGAAAATTTAAATGCAAGTCCTTCCAGCTCTCTGGAAGCATGCAGATGAGAAAGGCATTGAACAACTGACATCTGGACATGAACCACATCTCAGAAAATCTCTCTAACTAGAACCACACTGCACAAGAGCCAACAGTTAACGGCAATTAGAAGGCGAGGGCACATAATGACTAGGGTCTGGTCCAGGTCCATTGAAATCAATTAAGAGGTTCCCTCAAACTGCTGGTGGCTAGGGACCTTCAAGCTATAGACAAAAAACTAGCTTTTCAGATATGAGAACTTAGTATTTTATAACTAGACTCCTATATCTGAAAGATGGTAGCTACTTTGTCTAATTGCTACTCCTCTGCAAGTTACAGGAGCCAAAAGGAACTGGTTTGAGAGGCACATAAAGCTAACAGTATCTGTCCGCTTCACTGCAGCTACCCTGCACATCACATCATCGGTCTGGAAGCTCCCTCAAAGCAGATTTGTAGAGATCACTGCACACACACTGACTTGGGCAGTTACAGCTACGATTAACAGTTCTACTAAATAGGTTTATGAAGACTAAAGCCCAAAAGAAAACATGCTTACACTTCACTTTCCTTCAATTTAAGCCCATCTGCACTACATACACATGCTGCAGCTGTTCACCTTGTTTTGACAGGGCTGGAATTAAAAGCTAAGCCAGGGTCTATAACTCATATTGACATTAACAGCTTGAATAAGCCAGCTGCCCACTCTGCCTACCTTGGAAGAGCAGAGAGCAATTCTCATGTTTGGACAATCGAACTGGAGACACGAGTTTATTGCTACAACATCCAAGAGAGGCTAGCCTTTAAATATATGTAATTCTCATCTCCAGAAGGCAGGCAGTTGTTTCATGAGACACACACCTTGGGAAGCACTGACTCACCAGCTAGGTGAGAGGGCTTGAAGGATCTTGCCTTTACTTCATACGCATATTGACAAATGTGTGCTTTCTGTTACAAGGCCTCCAGTACCACAGCAAGCCCACATTGCTTTCGATTTACCATGCTGATTTGTTGCCATGAGAATTTAACTGGATAGAGTAAAGAGGAGATGCTGCTGGTAGCATCTGCTGTGTTAAACACTAATGTCCCAAGATGAGAGGTGCAGCTGCTTTCCAAGGAACACCCAGAAGTAGAACGTAAAGTGAGAAATTTAATAAACTAATAAACTAATAAACTAATAAACTAATAAACTAAGAAACTAAAAAACATGTGGTGCAGTGCTGCTTCTTTTTGTTGCTGTTACAGCTCTATCTCTGATCATCACAGCAGTCCTTAGTATTCAAGTAGAATCTGAATAAGCAGAGGATAAAGATTGTTCCATGCCTAAGGGAAACACAGAGCTGCACAAAGATGAACGAACACAGCAGAGGGACAGACTGTCAGAGCAAAACAGTAGGAAGTAATATGGCAAGAGATCAGGGAGGAGTGGTATAAAGACGCAGGTTTGCAAATAGGGGGACAAGATACTTGAAATAATATGAATTACAGGAGAAGCAATACCATGAAGGTAAAGTCTAGGGAACATGAGATTGTGAAACCCCATTTTGAATGGATTGAGTGGGGCTAAAGGACCCAGAGAAGAGAATACAATGTAGAGTTTTTTATAAGGAATTAGACATTAAGAGTGGGGGTTTTTTTATCAAAAGAAGTGGCAGGGGGGTCACAGAAGTGTTTAGGCTGGTTAGCCCAACCTGCTTGCTCAAGCAGAGTCAGCAAGAGCAGGCTTCCCAGAACTGTATCCAATCTGGTTTTGAGTATTCTTCACAGATGAAGACTGCACAACCTATCTGGACAACCTGTTCCTGTGTTTGACCATCCTCACAGTAAAAAAGTGTTTTCTTCTGTTCAGATTGAATTTCTTCTCTTTTTTATTTTTTTTTATTTTTAATTTTTGTCCATTGGCTGCTGTCCTGTCACTGGGCACTACTGAAAAGAGCCTGGCTCCTTCTTAATTTTCTCCCATCAGGTATTTATACACATTGATAAGATCCCCCTGAGCCATCACTTCTCCAGGCTAAACAGTCCCAGCTGTCTGCCTCTCCTCATATGGAAGATGCTTCAGTCCCTTAACCATCTTTGTCCTGCCCTGGACTCCAGTATGTCCATGTCTTTCTTGTACTGTGGGCCCAAAACTGGATTCAGTGCTGCAGATGTGCTGAGTACAGAGGAAGGATAACTTCCCTTGACATGCTGGCAATGGTCTTCCTAATGCAGCTCAGGATGCTGTTGGTAGCCTTCATCGTGAGGGCATATTGCTGGTGGATGGTCAGCTTCTTGTTCCCAAGGACCCCAAGGTCCTTCTTTGAAGAGCTACTCTCCAGCTGCTCAGCCCCCAGCATGTACTGATGCCTGGTGTTATTCTTAACCCAGTGCAAGACTTTGCATTTCCCATTGTTGAACTTCATGAGATTCCTCTCTGCCCAATTCTCCAGCCTGTCAAGGTCCCTCTGAGCGGTAGCAACCTCTGGCACAACAGCCACTCCTCCTGGTTTTGTATCATCTGTGAACTTGTCGAAGTGGCACTCTGCTCCATCATCCAGGTCATTAATGAAGAAGGTAAACAGTATTGGCCCCAGTATCAATCCCTAAGGTATATTGCTAGTGACTTGCTTCCAACTTGACTTTGCGCTACTTATCACAACCTCTGGGTCTGGTTGTTCAGCCAGTTTTCAATTCACTTCACTATCCATTCATTTTACCCATACTTTGTCAGCTTATCTACTAGGATGTTGTGGAAGACAGCATTAAAAGCCCTACTAAAGCCAAAGTAAACAACATCCCACTGCTCTCCATTCATCCAACAAGCTAGTCAGCTCACTGTGGAAGGTTATCAGGTTGGTTAAGCGTGACTTCCCCTTTGGAAATCTATGCTGACTACTCCTGATCACTTGCTTATCCTTCCTGAGATTGGAAATGGTGTCCAGGATTAGTTGCTCCATCGCCTTCCCATAAATTCACGTGAAACTGGTTGGCCTGTCATGCCCTTGATCTTCTTTAATTGCCCTTCTGGAAGATAGGTGTGACTCTTGTGCTATTCCAGTCTTGAGGAACACTCCCAATTGCCATGGCCTTTCAAAGATTATCAAGAGTGTCCTCCCAATGATATCAGTCAGCTTTCTTGGCACTTGTGGGTACAAACCATCAGGCCTCAGGGACTTAGGTATATTGTTTGTTTAAGTGGTCCCTGAACCAGTCCTCCTCCACCCAGGGTAAGTCTTCCTGGCTCCAGACTTTTTCTCTGGTTGAAAAGCCCTGGGATTCCTGAAGGGTAGGATCATTTGCTTACAGCAGACCTAATAAGGTGCTCCAAATTTACTCGTAACCTAAGGTGGAGTGTCTGATTTAGGTGCATACAAATCCAGTATAGAGATAGGTGTCTTTCTGATAGTGAAACAATAGCATGTGGCTCCCCATGGATCATATTTCCTTAGAAGCACAAGGAAAACTAGGATTTGTTTTTGATACCATTGCCATTTGTTTTCTTAAGAGCATCTGCTTTTCTGAAAGGAGGAGGCAAAATCAGAGGAAATGCACAGAAAAAAGTTAATCCTATAGCATGTTCCGTGCCCATAAAGATGGTGAGGGTCAATATTTTTGTGCTGTTATTAGAGAGCTATATGAAATAAATAACAAGGGAGAATGTGCTTATAAGGTCCATATTAGTTCTTGGTACAAAACCCATAAATTATCAGGAAGAAGAAGCGATATGTATGGACAGAAGAAAAAAAATCACATTTGCAGGCATTTCTGGAACACATTTGCAAGTCTGCTGATTGATTCCCCTTTTCAGGTTAAAGGCTCAGTACCAGGAGGAAAAAAAAATCTTATCATGTAGAACAGCTGAAGCCTGTAAGAAGCCCCAGATCCCTGGCCTATTAAATTTGTTTAATCTACTCTCCTTTGGCATCCATACTAACAAGGAAGATGACTGATGTCATTGTGAGGCCACTCAATCATCTTTGAGAAGTCATGGCAATTGGGAGAGTTCCTGAAGACTGGAAGACAGCAATTGTCATTCATATATTCAAGAACAAGTTCACAGAAAAACCTTTTGAATTCTTCACTAGTGAAAGATAACACAGAAGTCCTGATTCTGCAAAGCAGTGGTATGTATATTTGACTTCATAGTTTCTTGTCCTTTTAGAATGCCCTGCATGTCAAGTTCTTCCATCCAAGGGAAGACTTGTCAGCCTGCATGACAGAACTGACCTGAGAGAAAAAGTAGTTTTCCACAGAGGATAACTCCCTAGCAAGACTGGTCAAACTGATTGCAACTGTGTAGGTAGTAAGTCCCTATCTTTCTGTTCTATGAGCTCACCCTCATCTTCTCTGACATAATTGAAGGGACCTATTTAATTTACAGCAGAAATTGTAATTTCCCCCAAAACTGTAAGAAGTATTCAGTGAAAAATTTTCCTTCAGTGATATATAAAAAAATTAATTCACTAGATCATTTTCCATCAAGTTTTCTGTACAACCTCTATTCTATGTTTGTTCTACAGCTTGGATTCCTGAGGCTCCTTCTTCACACTACACTCTCTGAGTCCTTCACTATCACTGTTTACAGTCTTGTGGCCTCCATTTTCATCCTGTGCACATATTTTCAAGGTCTCTGGTATTATC